ATCTTGAAAATGGAAGGCTCATTATGCTTTGATCAAAATTAAAATTTCTATTCCAAAATTTAATCTTTCTAATTAAAGTATATCACAGGGGTTAGTATCATAATCCATGAATATTCTATTACTACTATTCCCTCTCTCTGATAAGTTCTGATCCTACTCTTTTTCTTTCTTTCTTGTGTCGGCTCTTCTTTTGCTTATCTGAGTTGTTGAAGACTTGAAGTAACTTATTTCTTCCCTTTTTTGCGTCACCTTTTCTCCTCCTCTCCACCAGAAGAAAATCATCAAAAAGAGATTAAAAGCCGTGCCAAGAATCAAGACGAAAATCATGTCTTCCCCAAGCAAACGCAGGGAGATGGACTTGATGAAACTGTTAAATCCCTGATCAATCCTTTTAAATTTTTTGGATTTCTTTTTCTTAGATTGGATTGACTTTTCGATTTATGGGCTTTTTTCTGTTTTTGAATTTTTTGGGTTTTTTTTTTTGTTGAATGTTCATTTGTACAGGATGATGAGTGATTACAAGGTGGATATCATCAATGATGGCATGCAAGAATTCTATGTCCATTTCCATGGACCTAATGACAGTTAATACTTCATCCCTTTTCTATAATGACAGTTATATCAATTTCTGGATCTTTTCTTTCTTTGTCTTGGCTGATAGTGCTTTTCTAGATTGAGCTCTTGTTCAAAATTTTTATGTATCTGCTAATAAATCTCGTTCAGCCAACGAGAACCATCTGTTAATATTATTTACTGTAAAAACGAAAGAAAGAAAATTTATGGCTCTGCTTCAGTCAATGCAAAATTGATGCAAATAGTTGATATCTGATTAGTGAAAAGGTTATTCTTGCAGTTGCAGCACATGCTGAAATTTTATTTATTTCCTTTATTTTCTGTCTCGTGGTTATTTACCCCTCCATTTCTGGTTCGAGATTTAGGGAAAGTGCATACTAGAATTGTTGGTTGTGTCTTGTTTGTTAACTAAAATGTGTCGTTCTTTAGCAATTCTAGAAGGATGGAAACTCTTTTAGCTGTTACAGACACTGTCAAAAGAGCTTCCTTTTTCTACCCAGTGGACATTTGCATTAGACCTGAAAAAATTGTTCATGTGATTAAAGTTACTGATGAAGATACTGGAACCAGCATAATTCTCTGTTCTGAACAAGACTTTGTTTAGTTTCTTTTTTTTTCCTTTTTCTCTTGCTTTCACCATTTTTTAAGACCATTCAATGAAATGTGCCAGGTCCTTATCATGGTGGGGCGTGGAAAATCAGAGTGGAGCTTCCAGATTCTTACCCTTACAAATCTCCATCCATAGGATTTATTAATAAGATCTACCACCCAAATGTTGATGAGATGTATGTATTTAGTTACAAAACTCTATTACTGTCTGCTTGATGATATCCCAGCGTTACTGTCATCTGAAAAAATGAAGTCTTTGATGATGTTGAATATATACTTTCAGGTCTGGCTCAGTTTGTTTAGATGTAATTAATCAGACATGGAGCCCGATGTTTGGTAATAATATTGAGTTCTTAGATTTCTTTTGGACTACGTACTCTCTCAGTTTGCTGATCTCAACATATGAATCAATCTATCCCTTTCTTGTTTTTTGAATGACCAAGTAGTATATTTGATGTTGGAAACATGTTCTTTGTAGATCTGGTAAATGTATTCGAAGTATTTCTCCCACAGCTTCTTCTATATCCGAACCCATCAGACCCTTTGAATGGGGAGGCAGCTGCTTTGATGATGCGTGATCAAACTGCTTACGAACAAAGAGTTAAAGGTACCTTTTGATTTGGAATGTAAGAAATCCTGAATATGCTTTCCTTTCCTAATTTGTTACTCTGTGTGTTTGACATATATACAAGTAGGATATTTTCTCATAGTTCTTGAATATGTCAAAATACATAAGATGAGTCAAGCCTTAAATATAATTGATGCGGGTCTTATACATTATTCTTGTAATTTTCTCAAATTATTTGAGTATCATGAGACTTAAAATAGATTGTTGATGTGATCTTGGCCATGAAAATTTCGATGCTCTTTAAACGTTTTTGTTAGGAATTTCTCCTGCTTTGAATTAGCTAGATACAACACATCTATGGGAATTCATGTGAAAGTTTGTTTCCGTGATGTTTATCAGTTCAATTTCACATACTAAGCTTGAATCATGATTACATTGCATTAGCTTGTGCTAGGTTTTCAAGCAGTGCAGATAGGTAATGAGATCCAAGTAGGATTCGGCTTTCAACAGTATTCCCATGTAACATTCTGCTTTTGCAATGTTGGTTCAGTTCTCTTGAAATCTGAAAGTGGGCTTGCCTTTATCTTTAGTCTGTTATACTATTTTGAAGGAAGCATCAAGGATCTAGGAGACAGCACACACCCAAAATCTGAGAGTTGAAAGAAAATACATGAAACTTCCACATGAACCATGAGCATGTGCCACCTAAGCCTGCCTGAAAATGGGAATCTTTTATTGTGGTTTATGTTTCTCAGAAAAATCAATAACCTTATTTTGGATTTTTTTTAGATGCTGTTTAATATTTGATCTGAGCAGATAAGCAAATGCACTCCTATTGATTAAATTGATATAAGTTTTCCTGCTGCATGATTATGCTCATTTTCATGGACTAATTGAGTGCTTTTCCTATTCACTAGTATGCTGCGCGCTACAATTAGCAGCCCCTTTAGCTTAAGGGGATAACTTGTCAACAATATCATATTTCAGATTTATGGAGATACTAAGTGGATTCTAATTCAGTCTACTTCACCTTTCAGTCCTCATGATTACATATGGAAGTTTCTTGTAGTCACTAAGATGGTTCTGACTCTTTTGTAGTCATTGTATGGCAAGGGAATCCTATGAAAGATCTTTAACTTTTTCTGTTCAGGCAGGATTGTTTCACACTGTCCTCGGGAAAACATACAAGATTGAAGAATGATGTTATCTGTTCTGACCTGGCATGAGTATGCTCACTAGAAAACACATGTAGGTTTAGGGCTGAGTGGGTAGAAGGAAAAGATAAATGCGAGTAAAGGTATAGTATGTTAATTATGCTGTGACCTTTAATGGTAGGTTAAAAACACGCAGCTGCAGATTTGTCTATCGTGGAATCTCTGCCACTGTCGGCTATGTTTCATTTCTCTTTGATAGCTGTTAGAATTGAGTTAATCAGTCTGTCGACCAGTTCCTGGCTTGAGGTCAGAAAGAGAGGAAACAAATGAAAAGGCGGTCATGACTACATTTTAACCCAACAGTTAATTGTCTGTTAACAATCCATGGATATACTGCTGTTTTATGTTTTCCCATGAAGTACCTTTAGCCTTGTCAGCCAATAGAGCAAGACAATACTGGGCCTTAAGCTCACACGGGATATTGATTCAAAGGGCTCTTAAAATTTCAGACTTTGTATCTGTTTCGTCTAGCTATCACAGGTTCGGATGATTAATTTGCCTCAACCCCCTTTGCCAGCTTTACTGGTTCCACTCTGTAGTAGTCTGGCAGCACTTAAAAAGTTTTTTACCCGATTGAACAGTTTATCTTTTTATGAGTTGAACATACTTTCTCTCTTGTTGCCTGCATGGTCATGCAAAAATAGTTCGATTCACCCATGCATTGATCATGCAGAATATTGTCAGAAATATGCCAAGCCAGAAGATGTGGGAGCAGTTCCCGAGGAGAAATCAAGTGATGAGGAGCTAAGCGAAGATGAATACGACTCTAGTGATGACGCGGTGGCAGGCCCAGTGGATCCTTAGCCCCTCCTAGTCCTAGTGGTTACTTGTACCTCTACATGATTCTCTGGTTCCTGCATAATTGAACCTGAACCTATTCATTGGGAAGGGATGCAAAAGAAGAAATCCCAGCCCTTAACATTAATTCTCTCGTGTAAATATATCCGGTGCTAATACATTGCTTTTCTATTTCTGTTTATATGTTTACTCTTGGTGGTGCATTAAATTTGGCAATGTGGTTGAAATTTAGGCTAAGCAAGTAATTTCTGCATTTTCGGTGAAATCCCATTTAGGCTAAGCAGGTAAGTCCTGCCCCAATTTTCCCGTCACACTACACTACTACATTTTCAATGCCAAATTGATTTCATGGCCCAGACATTGTTTATAACTACTAACTCTAGGGTGTGAGCTAAACTGCATCTAAAGTGACTGAGAATCTGTTTGGCTGCTTCAAACTTGATTCAAAGAAGCTAAATATAGTGCCTTGTGAATTGTGTATTGCTGCATAAAAGCAACCATCTTTTAAAATCAGTTGTTGTAGCCGTCTGTCTCTGCAAAAGGAACTGAAATTACGACATGAGACTTGGTTTTTCTCTTGCTCTCTCTGTTTTCACGTGGTGAAGAGCGGACGGGGGACTCTCAAGGCTTAAAACAGTGGAGGGTGAAGTGACCAAAATCTTTTTGACCAATTTGCGCGCTCATGGATCAGAAGAAAAGAAAAAAGTGCAGACGCTATTTTGCCAAAATATTTCATGAGACAGGATTATTCTCTTCTGTTGAGGAGATTTTTTCAGAAAATCTCAAAGTCTAACATTGAGGAAAAAGTGAGGCTGATCTGACTTTTTGAGTCTTGAACCAGTCAGATGAATGAGAAGAATACTCAAAATGTGATGGTTCTGGGATTATACTCGGCAGGCATAAGAAAAGAGGAAACAAAATACAGATCACGGATAGCAAGAAGGGCCATTTTTGACACTATGGGCTTGCCTTACGTATGCTTGCTTAGAAATCGGCTAATTAAAATACTTTTTTTGATTAAGTCGAGTCAATAAGAATTTACATGCTCATCCCAAAAGAATTATCTCGAAAGTAGAATCTTACTGGTTTGATTTTGCCATCTTGATCACGCTTCCATGTTGGAATGATAAATAGTTTTCCGAAAAAAACCATTTTCTTCCACTACACTGGTTAAGGTTTCCAGACACCTTAGAATATCTTCTCATTTTCCCCCTTAAAGCTCCTACCCAGCTGAAGCAGTGTTAATATACCTTTCAAAATACACTACTACACAGAGACGCAGGAGACTTGCGGAAGAGCAAATATCATACACTGGGAAAATCCCCACGAATTCCTATATTAACAGGTATTACAACTCACAAGGGCCGGATTGTACCCAGCACCTCGACTAATTAGCAAAACAAATTCTTTTGTTAAAATATACACGCACTCAATTAAGGCTTGGGCGTCTCTTTCCAGCATCTGTTCGCATCCTTTTGACAGGATTGGCCCAGCCAACATTCCCACCACTGCTGTGCACCTGCTGAGGAGACTGGCTATTCCACCCTTGCTGTTGGGTAACCTGCTTCACATCTTTGGCTATCGAAGCTTGTGCAGGGCTTCTAATGCCACGACTGACGCCAGTAGGTGACACAGGACCAGCTGAACCGTTTCCCGCCTTGAATCCCAACTTTTCCCTGTCCTTTCTCTTCTTTTTGCAAATAACAAGCTCCCCTGGATGAGCGAATGGGCGTGAATCATCTTGTTGGCCAAGATCCCGGCTGCTGCTACTTCCAAGCCTTGCCTCCTTCTGTGACACATGGCCCCTCGTTTTTGTGTCTTCATGTATTGGTCCACGAGGCTGAGGCTTCTGAGGACGACTAGGCTCAGGTTCTGCACTACTCGTTGCTTTTTGCCGCCTGTTTTGACCAGTAAGCACTTGTTTTGAAGATGAACCATGTGCAGAGCCTGAGGCTGCACTCGTGAAAGAGAGAGAGTTTTTGGCTTCTCGGAAATCATTCTCTGGAAACACTATCTTCAAGATGTCGAAGAAAAGATCATGGACTTTCCTCGCTTCAGATCTCACCTGTTCCATGATGTTTTCACCAATCACTTAGTTACGTGATTAACAGTAGCATACAATACAGGTAGCTGGAACAAATGCACACACATGCAAGGCCAGGCAAGGAAGGGTAGGGTGTGGGAGGCTGAGGACAAAAACAATGCTTTATATATCTAGGTGTCTAAATTGTAGGAATGCATCAAATTAAAGACCAAATTGTTTATAATCCTCCTGTTTTTCCTTCCAGAAAAAAAAAAGTATATCATGATATCATCAGAAATAATATCTTGAGAATGACTTCAAATTGTACCAGGTGGCAATAAACTGAAAATAATTTTCAAGATTATGCAGTATAAGCAAAACCTAGCAAGAAAGAAGTTACTAACACGCATACCATAACCACAAATTGTAGGAAGAAATATGTAGACATACCTCATATGAATAACCATAATATTGCACGGCACTTCTTAACATAAGCTGCACGTCTGAAACAAATTCCATCACTCCCCTGTACTCTTGGTTGTCAAGACGCATATCAATCTCCGGTAAATCAAAGAGATTATCCTCAGCTCCACTCGTGCAACCAGAGCTTTCAATTCTTTTCCACAGATCAGTTAGCAATGGAATGATCTGTGCACCTTCCCGGTCTATTCTCTTTCGGAGCCTGCTAATCACATTCTTGCACTGCAAACAAGGAAAACTCCAGACACATAAATAAAGAATAAAAATGTGGTGAGGTAAAAACTAGAAATAAAAATCCAGAAAGTTATTTTCAAATGAAAAGTGGTTAATACATTCTATCTTCCTCGTGAAACTACTTAGGACTGCCACTAGGAATACTATTTGAACATAGCATAACACGTACAGGATCAAAGCTAAAAAGTAAAACAGCAAGGATCAAAATCCATGTAGACCCAAAGACAATGCCAGTTAAAGAAAGGGCTAAATGCACTAAACCCCCCAGAACTTTACCCTTAGTTGCACTTTGCCCCTCTATTTGATATTTCAAGACAAAAGTACCCTTATTTATTTTGTTTGTTTTTTGTTCATTTATTCCCTTACTTTTCCTTTCCCACTACTTCGTTTTGTTTTCACATTTTTTCTTCTTTTACTATTTTCTTTTTTTTTTCACCTTCTCTTAAAAATAAAATGAAAAGCAAACATATTGGGCAAGTTCTCAATTGTTTCTGATTATTAGAAGCAGATCAGAAAATCAGAAGCGTCTGTTCTGTTGCTTTTGATCTTCAGCTATTTTGCCTCCAAAAATGCTAAAAGCATATTTTAAGTACTTGAGAACATAAAGTAGCTTTTTCTAAAATCAAAAGCAAAAAGGTATTTAAATCATTTGAGCAACAGGCACACTGAAGAATGAATGAGTTCATCACAGGTACTTTTTTATTCCTTTGGATTCATACTTAGCCTTCCACCTGCCAGCCCCGCTGGAAGAAAACTAATAATATTGAGGACCATAAGACAGCTGAAAACAATCATTTATAAGTTAAAAATCTTACTCCTTTAAGAATTAAAGAAGAACAACTACAATGAGATTCTTGTTCCACAAAAATGACAATATAAACAATTAATAGCCTTAACCAACCTGCAAAGGTGTCCCTGTCAGAAGCAAGCGTCTTTGGCAGCGATACCTATCAAGATCACGAGCTAGAACTGACTCCCTGTCCTTCATTCGTTGTGCTTCGTCAATTATGATATACTTCCAATCCACTTTAGAAAGTTTTGAGCGATCATACATAATAAACTCATAGGTAGTCACAAGCACATTAAATTTCATTGCAGAAACCTCCTGAATGAAATATCACGAAGTTCAGGGAACTGATAAATGTGAATGATGGAAGCAAGAATATAAAAGATGCAAACTCAACAGCCTGACTTACTTGAGAAAACAATTTTGATCGTTGGTCCTTTCCACCAACATAATAAATACAGCTCACATTTGGAAGCCAATTGTGAAGTTCACTCTAAAATACAAGCTACATTAGATAAATAAAAAACTTTACAACTCCAAACAAGGATGTAAGGGTAATTAAAAGAAAGCCAACCTTCCAGTTAACGAGAACAGCATTCGGAACTACAATAAGGTGTGGGCCATAATTTCCTTTGAACTCCATGAGATAGGCAATTAATGACATAACCTACAGGCGAAAAATCGAAAGAGAAAAAGATAAAAGGAGTACTCCAATTATCTGGTATACAAATTCAACAATAAAGGGAACCATAGCATAAACCAAATATGACAGAAGGCCACAAAGTAATGATCAGCAAAATTCTTCTTTTTCCTTGCTCCCAAAAAAAAAATTATAACCAAAAAATTCTGAACCACCAACATATTTATACAATAGCCAGTCACCTGCACTGTCTTTCCAAGACCCATCTCATCTGCCAAAATTCCATTAAGTTTATTGTTGTACAAAGAAAGCATCCACTGCAAGCCAACCTGCATTATTTAAAGAATTGAACACGATAATCAACTTGAGCATCCAGTTTTTGAGAAGAATGTCAGCACTGTATGAATATTGAAGATATTGCAACTTACAAGCTGATAGTCTCGTAGAGTTCCAGCTCGCAACATTGAAGGCTGCCTAATAACCCTTTCATTCACAGCATGTGCAAGATTATAGTACCTGGTGCAAAAGAACGAAAAATGACACACTATGCACCTATATTGGGAAGTACAAGAAAATTTCACAGTACCCTCCAAAACCATTGAACAAGTAAAAACACTAGAATCTCTTGCCATTTGCAAGTAAGAATCTGCAGATAAACTACAGTTGAAATCAGAATCAAATGACAGATGCATTCAGTACAATGCAGCCCAAACACAAATTAGTACTGCTAAATTCATATCCAGGAAGTACAAAAGAGGCTTCAATTGTAACGACACTGAAATCATATCCAGAAACTGCAAAAACTGCTACAATTGTCCATACAACATAAATGCCAATGCACAACCTAATCAGATAAAAAACAAACTCACTTGTTGACAGATGAGCTATCCCTCGGGGCATTCATCTCAGAGAACCGATTCCTGATCATTACTTCCTCCCTGGCACAGGCTGCTGCAGATCTTACTTCTTCTTCAGAGAGACCCTTTTCATCCAGAAGCACATGTCAGTGACGACTAAGAAACCAATCCAAGTACATACAATGTGAGAAAAAAGTGGGTAGACAAAATTACTAAAATCAACCAAATTAGCATATCACATGACATGAATAGAGCGATAATCACAGAAAAGGGGTAGTTAATGTACAAATAGGTCCCTCCACTCCCAACAGTTTATTTCTGATACAGTTTCAATGAAGGGAACATGGTATAAAGTCAAGAAAATCAGTTGCTTTTTCTTCTTAAACATCTGGTTCATGAGAAAGTTGGCAAAAGACTTTCTTGGAGGAAAATATTTCCTCCTTTTTATGTCCAGCTAATTTGCAGGAATTAGCATGAAAAGGTGATTGCTCACTCATCCAAATGACTACCAACTTTGACTTTAATTCTCTCCGTTTAAAGGAATGACTTCCCTTTTTTTCCCTTCTTCCAGTCACATTGACAAACAACTTTCCTTATATTCAAAAGTGGACTTCTCCTTCTGTTCTGCCAATAAGTATAGTGTCGAAAGCCAATGATGTACCACTTCAAAGGACTCATAGAGATACAAAGCCAAAGACAAGCAACTCACCCTTAACCTGTTTCTTCAGTCTTTCTTCCCTTTCTACTTTTTTCTTTCCTTCCTTTGTTTCTCTTTTCTTTTTCTTTTTTTTTGCACGGGCGAGGGGCCGGCAGGGGATTGTTGGGTTCATGACCGAGGATGAAAAGTTGCACGATTCAGAAGATGGACTTTACACTGAGTCGAGCAGGCAACGTGCCTAGCAGCATAGCAGTGCCTCTATCCACCTCCTGTTGATTTTTTGCAGCAGTAATTTTACCTCCCAGTCTGTGAAGATACTCTTCTGTCTGAGATAAAAACGATGAGAGAACCGCATATCTCTCTGCAGCATCGCCAGGGATACTAGTCTGTTGCTCAAGCAACATCTCCCTGTATCTCTCAACATCGTTATTCTTCAAAGCCTCCATCCTTTTATTGCGATCATCATCCTTTCTCTTCGAGAACTCCCTCAACATCCTCTCATGATATTTAGCAACTCCCCTGTTACGTGCAGTTCGAGCATCACGAATGGCCCAGTGCGCCTCAAGGAGTTTCTTACGCCACTGAAAAATGGACTTCAGTTGCTTTTCTCTCAAGGCCTTCTGTGAGGCCTGAACTTGCCTAGCAAGTTCCTGTCGTTGGCGCTCACAAAGCCGAACAAACTTCCTATACGGCCTCTCAGGCATTGCCATTATATCTTGCTGCTGTTGCTCAATCTCATCTCTCAAGCGAGCCTGAACATCCGCCAGTTGAAGTTTTTTCTCTTCTATTTGCAAACGTAAAACAAGATCTGGCCTGATTCTTTTCCTCTCCAAATTTACAGCCAGTATATCACCAATCTTCCTAATATTTTCTTCCCTCTTCTTTCTGAAAATTTCCATGCCTTCCTCAGCAAGAAGATCCTTGATGTCATAAGCAAGAGTAAGGTTATTATTGTTGTTCATCATCAACGATGACCCAAAAGAATCATGTTTCCGAGTAAAGACAGGAAAATCAAACAGTGGTCCATGATACTTTCTAGTTGAACCAACATCTTTAGGTTGAGTGACATTTCCTTGTACAGGTTTTTTTGCGGGTGCTGTATCAGGAATAGCTGCCTGTGAGGTAACTGCTTTGCCCCTCTCTGCTGCAAATTCATTTCTGATAGGAAATTTCTGATTTGCACGTTCAACTTCTGGCTCAGATTTACCAGAAGATCCAGTAGTTTGCTGCTCCTCTTTCCGAACAGAGACCATAGGTGTAGGTTCCTTCACTGGCACTGCCAGACTTTGCACATTAACTGCAGGTGCAGTTGCACTCTCATCTCCTGCAGCTTCATCCTTTAATCTGTGTCGTCCATCACCATTGGTTGCCTGCTGAGTAGCCTTGTCACCCAACTGAAACTGCCTCTCATGCTCTTCTACATTTTTAACAGCAGATCTTTCTGGATTAAGAGCTCCAGCAGGAAGAAGCATCTGCTGCATCTGCATCTCCAGTGGTGGTGGTGCAATAGCTTGGAGTAATTCTCGTGGCAGAGATCCATCTCCTTTCTGTAAGCAGGAAAAAGATACCTCAAAAGCATGTTAATGCAGCCTAACAAGAAAAGTATAAAATGCATAGCATGCTTACAAAATACACAAACCTTAAGGCGCCTGAAAGCAAGTATTTGTGCTTTGAGAACATGCAGTTGCTGCTTTGTAAACCCTAGGTTCTGTTGCTGCATCTTGGCTCCTGTTCCATCCTGAGAAGTAGAGGTATTTCCCAGGATCCCATCATTCGATGAAGCCATAGATTGTGAAGAAGATCGATTTGGCTGCCTTCCGTATTGCATCTGCAAAGTTTCTGGCCCGATCTGTGCACCTTTGGCCAGTAATGCATTATCCAATCCCTGCTTTAAGTTCAAAGGTGAGTTTGAGGGAGGCATCGGAGGCATTCCATTGGCAATTGTATTTGGCTGTCTTGGAGGTAACTGGCTGTCTCTTCCATGAAGGGAAAACTGCTGCAATGGGACATTACTGGAGTTACCTACCACAGCTGCACTGGGAGCTGAACTGGGAGAAGCAGATGAAGAAGGGTATCTAGCTTTGACCGAGCCAGACTGCGCAGATGCATCACTTGATGTGTTACCACGAGGAGAACTTTCATTGGCCACCGTTGGTGAATTAACTGGCTGTTTTTGCACATGAAGAGATGAAGCCTGTACGACAGCATTGCTTTCATTTGCTTTTTGCTGTGAAATCATACGAGACTGCATGAGAAATTGTGCAATCAGATTTGCATTTGCAGGATTTGAAAGGTCAATATTACGCTCAAGGGCCAAGGCCTGCATTTGTGCAGCCATAACATTAGGATTGTTTGCCATGTTCTGAAAATTTTGTTGAGATTGTGGTGCAGGCATGGGCTTCACCGGCACTGCTTGGCCAAGTAATTTTGGCTGGTTAGGAGACTCTGAATCAGCCCTTTGATCTGGTAGATGCTGTTTAGCATGGTCCCCTTGAGTCTCACCACCACGAGTTACATGCTCGACTGATTTTTTTGAAGATGATGCCGAAGGCTGATTAGCCGCCTGTGCAGAAATGAGCTCCTGCATCTTCATATTTGCCATCCGCATTTCTTGATCCTTGCTAGGAGGGCTGAACATCCCCATTTTCATTTGCTGTTGAGGCTGCATTCCTAGAGGTGATTTCTGCTGGGCTGCCTGGAAAGCATAGTAAGCATGATGCACTGGGTTCAGTAAGTGTTGCTCAAAGGCCTGACTCCTACCTTGACCCTCCTCTCGGCCACTGGAAGGGATTTGCTGTTGGCCAAGATCCATAAACTTCCTAGGCTGTTGAGGCAACTGCATGGAGCCTGAAGGCACAGCAAAGTTGCCTCCTCCCATCACTCCATGGATACTTCCAGCCTGATAGGCTAAAATGGGGTCATTCCCTTCAGGTCTTCTAAGGAACTGCTGTTGTAAGGACTGCATAAAAAATGTCTCAAAAAACCATGCATACATGAATGTCTCTCAAAAGAGCCAATTAACCACCAATGGTTCAAGAAGAAACAGGCACAGTTCAAAGTTTATAATACAAAGAAGAAGCTATTTGATAGACAGAAATTCTAGAGATCAAAATTCAAAAAGGAATTAATAAAATTCAGACGCTACAAGACAAATAACAATAACAGAAGTTCGGTTGTAATAGTCACTTCATTAATTTTTGCACTTTCCAAGTTAATGAAATTGCACTTCATAGACACAAACCTATGTTGAGAAAACAAGAACGCCAAGAGAAAAAAGAATATCCATCTGCAGTAAACCAATAAAATTAGGAAAGTTCAATAGAATACCATAACCACAAAGTTGATGAAATGACCAGTCAAAACTGTATAATAAGTCCCAAGCAGAGATCATCCAAAAAGTGCTGACTTCACTACTTCTCCTGTAATTTTTTCATCCAAAAGAATTTTTTCTTGTCTGTAATTCACGTTCAATGAATCTATATCACTTTAAAGACAATACATCTATTAGTTCCTGGAATTTTTTTACTAGATACCACATGATTTCATCTTAAATATTAATTCGTCCAGTGTGTAATTTGTCTTGCATGTAATTTGTCCCTAATGGGTCTATTTCACATTAAACATGATCAAATGTGGAAATCCTCCAAACTGAGCACTGAAATAAGACAATCATTGATGTTAAAGGAGGCACCCTGGAAAGACACAAATGGACGAAATGCTACATCATCACATGCACATCAGAACCCAACACTAAATTGAACAAAAACACTGTTAGTTAACAATATCAGAGCGCCTCTCGTCAAATCCCAAGAGTTTGGAACTCAATGATGGTAAAAGCTCCACCACTACCTAGCTAGGCAAAACAAATCCCAGTAAAACCCACATTCATGCAAACCTTACCTTTGACACAGAACTAATACTGCAAAAGCATACCTTTGGGACCCCCTTGAAAATTACAATCAGTCTTCTAAACAAAAAAAAAGAAACCAGGCAAACTTGTACATTATTCAACATAAGCAAACACATATGCACACAAAAAAGTGTAGGTGCCTCATTTATACCCTTGGTCATTGCTGTTATCAACACTGCGTCTGAAACTTCCAAGTCAAAAACGATCAAACTCAACTACCAGCAACCAATAACTTCCAAGCTAGCTAAACGAGGACTATAACAGCTTATCCCCCTTGAATTCAGATCCAATGTTTCTAATCCACCATATTTGTAACAGGAACCATAGGGAAGGGGGGAGGAAAGCATATCGTCAAACACATCAACACTATTCTATCAAATCCCTGAAGCCAATCAATGACTAATATGAAATTTGATTACAACATCAGTACAAATTTTGCAACTCACACCTAAAACCAACCAGCTGAAAAGTGCTAATTACAGAAACCAAAAACCCAAAATCACTAACAGAAAAATGTGAAAATAAAAAAATCCAGTATTAAGCATGTAAAACCCTAACCTGCCTTTGCTGCTGCTGCTGCTGCTGCTGCTGCTGGTCAAGTCCCAGCTGAGACGTCGACACCCCAGAAGAGGAGGAAGCAGGCGACACCGCCGCACTCCGCCCATGCCCACTGCCCTGCTGGGCCCCACCACCCCCAGATTGCATGCAGAAATCTCAACTTTTTCCCCCAAAAAAAATTAACATACAACCATTAAAAATTAAAAACCCCCCAAAAATATTTCTCATTCAGCCCAAGAAAACCAAAAGGCCCAACCAAAACCCTCCAACAAAATTTCAGGCGCGCAGGTTTTCAAACAAAATATAAAAAAGGAAAAGAAGGAAAAAAAAAATCAGATGTCGTTTAAGCGCAGCCTTCCCTTTTTTCTCGAGTCCGATCTCAACGTAAAAATTGACGTACCGCTGTCCCACAAGGGATATAGATACAAATGCCCTGTATCTATAATAAAGCCACCCCCTTTTTTTGCTGTTTAAATTTTTTCTCTCTCTAGATTTGAAAACCAAAAAAAAAAAAATTACAATTTTAATAGAGCCAAAATATTGCTGAGAAATGAAGAAGATAGATGTGAAGCTGGGAGTAGGGTCTGGCGTGGGGCTGGTTCAAGGCGGGAATTGTGGGGCCAGTTACAGATCGATCCTGTAGCCGGCGAAAAGTCACCCCCGACGTCGCCGGAATCTACTGATTTGACTCGCACACACTACACACACTCCACTCAGCCGTTTTTCCTTTATTTTTCCCCCCTTTTTCTGCTCTCTCTCTCTCTCCTCGAAAAATTTTTACACACGCAATTGTTTTTTCTAGTAGAGAGAAAGCCCCGAATAAAAAGCCAAGCTGATATATTGGTTATTTATATATGGGGCCGCGGGGAGGGGTAATAAATATTTTTTTTCTCTCTCTCTCTCTCTGTAAATCTTTTTCCTTTTCTTAATATTTTTTCTGCCTTTTGTCTTTTCCTCGACCAGACAACTTTGGGAATTGGGTGGTTTCAATTCTAACCGTGGTCAGAGTAATTGGTTAAATTGAATTTTACTCTTCTTTTTTTTTTTTTTTTGTTTAAGTGCTGGTCACTCAAATTCGAGATCGAGATTTCTTATTTATATTTTCTCCTTTTGTAAAATTTCGATGTAATTGGTAAATTTTCATAATTCGGGAAAGTATAGTGGATAAAGTGAATAATAATACCCATTTGTTTGTTTCCACATAATATGATTACTTTGATCAATTTACTATTTTTCTTTCTTATGCATGTCTTCGATTTGTGATATTTTATACCGGAAATAGAATAATTATGTGGATCTAAATTGATAAGGGGATAAACTAAAATTAGACTGTGAGTTTGGTAATTTCAATTATTTCTTTCATTGATTAATGATACTTCACTAACATGAAAAAAAAAAAATCAGTTTCTGTTTCTTTCTCTAAAGGTAATTTATGCTAGAGCCACCAAATGGTGAGTTATGATTTGATTACCACTTTAACGAAAATTCGTCTCACTTTATCTGTTGAACTCTTCATCATATACAGATAGGATTATTTTTGTAATTACTTCTTTTTTGACATTTTATGAATTGGTATAACATGCATGATTATCTCGATATATCATATTGGTGTTTGTCATATTTTCTTTGTTGTTTGTATGTATTTCTTTGTGCTTTCATTATTCTTTTCATTTGTTTTTTTCCTTTTTATTTTCTCCTTAAATTCTTAGAGCCTAACTCTCTCCTACAAGCTTATGTATCTCTACTCTGCATTTCAAACTCCCAACCTATACTAAAAAGTTCAAAGGAAAATTTTTAAAATTTTTTGAGTTCTCTTATAAGTGTTTGAGGTACCTTCTTCTAAACAAGTCTAATTTGCCAGACTTCACAATTGAAAGCAGATTTTTAAAATTTTGAATTCTCTTATCAGTATTTGAGGTAAATGTAGTAAAGAGTTTTAGGAAAAATCCAAAAACTTGAATTCTCTTAGGTATTTGAGCAATTTACCCTTTTCTAAACAAGTCTAATTTGTCAATTTTTGTCAACTTCACAAATTTCTCATTTGTTGTTCCAATCTTCTATAGCTTCTATTGATTTGACCATTAACACACTTATTTAGTTGTTTCTCCCTCTCTCTTTCTAAAATATTTTTCACATGACATTGCTTGTGAGAGTGAGCCCTAAATGCAAAATGTGGCCTTTAGGGTCAATTTAGAAAGTATGTTATTTGGATGTTTGTATAAAATTTTATCGTAACTTACTGTAGAAATTATTGAAATTTTTTTGCGTATTTAGGGTTTGAAAAACTTAAAAAACTTTCTTTTTTTTCCTTTTCTTTTTCTTTCTTTCCTCTCTCTTCTTCCTCCTCTCACACCTGGTTTTTATTCTCCCTTCTCCCTCACTGCCACCATACTAGTTGCTATTGCCTTTTTTTTTCCTTCTCTCTCTCACTCCCTCTTCTTTTTCTTCTTACCCCTTTTCCTCCTCTCCTCTTCCATTCAACCAGAGGTCACGGGGGTAGGGGAAAAAAGAAAGAGGGGAATGGTGTGCTGGGGAAAGGGAGATGAAGGAAAAAAGGTTAGGAGAGAGGGTGGCACTAGAAGAGATGCTAGCAAACGTGCTAGGAAAGAGGAGGAAGAAGAAAGGCAAAAAAAAAATTTTGTGTTTTGGGATATTTTTGATGTGTGTATTTTAAATTTTTGAAATATTTTTTAGAGGGTTTCTATAGATAAAGCTGTTAAAATTTTTTTTTTTTTTTAAAAAAAAACCCTCTTAAGCAAACCTTAGTTACTTTACATTGGGTAACAAACACCCCTCCCATGCAAATCCTAGTTACTTTACATATGGGTAACAGAGATTCTCACCGTAAATTCTTTACTTTGTTTTCTTTTTTATTTTTTTTCTTTGTCTTTTCATCAACAAGTTTTTGCTGGGGTAGCAATTGGGAATTTGGGGTGGGCTTTAGTTTCAATCGTGGTTAGAATACTTAAATAGTTAGTAAATATTTGCGGAAATGCTCACATAATTTGCAAACCTCATCATTACCTTTTAACCAACAAATACCATATGCCATGTTATGGTAATAAATATAGCAAATTATCTGGATAGCTACTAAACTTCTTGAATAGTTAAGATTTGATCACTCAACTGTTAATAATATGTTTTTATCCACTGAGTTATCAAAAGTGCAAATTTTAGGTCATTTCATCTAATTCCACTGTTAACTCTACTAAACCTAAAGGTCTACACGATTCAAGAGACATACTATTAATAACTAGATCTGGTAGAGTTAATAGTGAAATCAGATGAAATAGCCCTAAATTTACACTCTTGATAAATCAATGGGGTAAAACATACCATTAATATTAAGTAACCAAACTCGACTATTTGAAAATTTTAGTAGCTATCCGAGTAATTTGCTTTGATAAATATGCAACATAAGGCAAACCAATATTGGTTTTTATGAGAGGGAGGATTAAAGGTATTGCCATTTTGTTTCGATTTGGTTAAGTGCTTCTTTGTTGTATAAAAATGAATATGGATTTAAATCAATAAATTGGAATTACATCATCACTTTGGTAGTTTCAATTGTTTGTTTTATTGATTTATGAAATCCAAGTACATGATTGTTGTAGGGCTGCAAACGAGCCGAGTCGAGTCGAGTTTTGGCCTAATCGAGCCGAGTCTTGACTTAATTTTATTGAATTCGAGCTCGACGAGCTGACAATTTAAAGCTCGAGCTCGAAAAAATTAAAAAATAATTATTTTATTTTATTTTTTAAAGATATTGTTTTCTTCATAAATAATAAAATATTAAGGATATATATGTAATTTTACTATTAAAATAAAAAAATATATATACATAAAATAAAAAAATAAATAATATATATATATATATATATATATATATATATATATATACTCGAGCTCGTGAGCCGGCTCGCAAGCTAACGATCTTAATATTTTGAGCTCGAGTTCAAGCTCGATTTCGACTCGAGGTAGCTCGAGCTTGACTCGAGAGCGGCTCGGTTTGTTTTGCAGCCTTAGATCGTTGTATACTTTCGATTATAGTTTCCTTAAAGGACTCTGAGAAAAATAACCTATATTTTGAATAAGAAAAAGTTGTCTTCTCTTTCTTTTCCGATGCTATAGCAATTGAATTGTATTGTGCTCTGATTCCCTTACGAATGGTAAATTATGTTTATAAATTGCCTTGGAATGAAGTTTCATCATAGTTGATCCTTCCCCCATCTACTCCACTACCATCCTAACTCCATTACAACTCTTCATCTTATATATTCAACTGTTCCTCTCTCTTTTTCGCCTCGCTTTAACAAGAAGTGGAGGTTAAGAAGTAAAAAGAAAAAGAGGTAGAAAAATGTTTTAAAGATTTGGCAAAAGTAGAATTCATGTACAATGTGCAAATTAAACTAACTACTATGAAATTGGTCCATAGAAAGATGAAGGAAACTTTTGGAATGTAGTAAAGAGAAGCTCAAATTATCTCATAGGCTCATGAGGCACTTGTACAATTTTCATCAACTACGAAAAATTGCACTTTGTTTTTCTAATTATCTTATCTTCTATTGAAATTAAATTACATAAAAAAAAATGATTTGAAGATACCTTTTTTGTGTTGAATAAGTTCATATCACTATCAAGACCATAACGATATGAGCATTATTTACTAAGGGTCTGTTTGATAACATAAAAAAGTGCTGAATCTGAATTTTTTCAGACATTCAGATGTTTTGAGTGTTTGATAAATGAAAATCTATTTGCTGAATTTGTTAAGCAATGCTGAACCTGTGTGTATTTTTTTCAGCACAAGAATCCTAACTGAATGCTTAATTCTGATAAGAATCAATAGAATTACTTCAGCTACCTTATCTTATCTACCAAATCTACCCTTGTTTGTTAATTATGTTCAAAATTCTTATCTAATTAAACAATATAATATTCTCTATCTGACGAATTTTAGTTTCTCTTTTCTCCCTTTCTAATGACTTTCACATCTTCTCCATACTCCTCATATAATATATTTCAAATTTTATATTAATTTTAAAAATAAATATTGTCATTTTCATACCTAACAATTTTAAACTAATTAAATCATAGATTCTATTTCTTTTTTGAATGAAAGGATATAAGGGCAAAATTGTCAAATTAAACTTGTTAAGCATTCAGCTATAAATATTTATCAAATAGTATAAATAGGTTTAACATTAAAATTCAGACATTCATATATTTTTTTCAGTGCTTAAAATTCAGCAAATTAATTGTTTCAGTATTCAGATTTCAGAATTCAGACTTCAGAATTCAGATTCAGTTTTATCAAACGGAACCTAACTTGCTTAATAAAGTAAGATTAGTGTGCATTTATGGTATTATAAGTTGGCAAAGGATTTTATTCCAATCATCACATTGTCAACGTGATAACATATAATTAACTGTGCCATATCTTC